AGGAAGAGTCCCTGGATGAGTAATCGAGGCTGAATTTACGCATAGTGGAGTCTGATTAGCGCAAGTGGGCAGTCCAATCGACATTTGGGATCGTGAAGTATGGTGGTGAGACTCCAGAAATCCCGGTGAATCTCGGCCGCCGCTCTCGATCGTGGGTTCTGAACCTCTGGCCGTGGAGACACATTTATGGCCTGGATAGCTGGTGAACCAACATCTCAAGCTGTCAGAATTCTTGTGAGAATGTCCACGTCTAATCACTCTGATCTTCATCACCAAATCCTGACTTCAGTCACTTCCCACCTTTCCTCATGCATTAAATGCTACTTTGTGGCCAATGGGTTCGCTGCATTAAACAGGCACTACTTCATTAAATGAAGCTTGGGACCCTGCTGTCACGTGATGATTTGCCTTTAATGCCTTGGCCGCAATTTTGTTCGGCCTCGGCCTCGGCCTACATTTGAGGCCGAGATGATCATGCCTTAGCATTTCTTCTTTTATTTTTAAGGAAGGCGAAATGCCCTGGCGAAACGCTGCGTTTCAGCCTCTGCGAACAAGTGCCAAGGCCGAGAGAAAGGGCTCCTTCGGCCAGCTCATGGCCGTGATTTATCAGGCACAAACAGTGGGCCCGGATTATATAGTCTCATTTAACTTAAAGATGGGCTGCACCAAACATGGGCTTGGGGTGTTATTTAAGTTAGTCCTATCCAAGCCAATCCAAGGAGGTGTACCAAACAGCCCCTTAGTGTTAATCAAGTCTGTCAATTCATGACTACTCCTTTGGAATCACATTATCTTGCTGTTAAACGCATTCTGCGATATCTTAAGGGCACTATGGACTATGGTCTCCTATTCTCTCCTGGTTCTCTCAATTTGAAGGCTTACACTGACGCTGATTGGGCTAGTGATCCCAATGATCGTCGTTCCACCTCTGGCTTTGTTGTGTTTCTAGGCTCCAATCCTATTTCTTGGGCATCTAAGAAACAGCATGTTGTATCTCGTTCCTCTACTGAGGCGGAATATAGGGCGATGGCAACAACTGCAGCTGAACTCTCTTGGCTTCAACAGCTTCTTCGCGATGTGCATTTTCCTATGTCCTCTCCTTCTTTACTCTTATGTGACAATCTGTCTGCCATGGCACTTTCCATCAATCCAGTCCTTCACTCTCGCGTCAAACATATAGAAGTTGACTGCCATTTTGTCCGAGAAAAGGTTACTGGTGGTCAGCTGCACTTGCAGCATGTTCCTTCTTCCCTTCAGGTTGCAGATATTCTTACCAAAGGCCTCTGCTCTCCTTCCTTTGACTTTCACTGCAGCAATCTCAAGCTTAGGCCACCCTAACTTGATCTTGAGGGGGGATGATAGTGAGAATAGCACATGCCTGTTAGTTAAGAGTTTAGTATAGTGTGCCAAGTGTGAGATTGTTATTGGTTGTTATCCTAATCTAGTGGTTAGGCTGTTATAAAGTAAAGCACTGTACGCTCATTCTCATTAAGGAAAACATACACAGCTCTTTTCTATATTCTCCCTCTTTTCTCTTCTTCTTCTTCAACTGTTATCAGATACAAATTAGACATTGAGGATTCAAAAGGATAGAAAAGATCTGCAAAAACAAAATTGAACCGGTTCAGCTAATACAGTCCTTATCGTGCGCTAGTGTTGGCTGGTTCAAAGGCTATAAGTGGTCAATTTGATTGGAAAAAAGATGAGAATTCAAATTAGAGACTGTGGATTCAAAAGGTTAGCAAAGATCAGCAAAAACAAAATTGAACCGATTCAGCTAACCCAGTCTGTACAGTGAGTAGGGTTGGTTGATACAGGTGCTAGAAGTGGTCAATTTGATGGGAAAAAAAATCAGGATTCAAATTAGAGATTGAGGATTCAAAAGGGCAGAAAAGATCTGCAAAAACAAGACTGAACCGGTTCAGCTAACCCAGTCCGTACAGTGAGCTAGGGTTGGCTAATACAAGTGCTAGAAGTGGTCAATTTGAGGGGTGAAAACATCAGGATTCAATTTAGAGATTGAGGATTCAAAAGGGTAGAAAAGATCTACTAAACAAAACTGAACCGATTCATCCAATACAGTACTTACAGTGCGCTAGAGTTGGCAGGTTCAAAGTCTACGAGTGGTCAATTTGATTGGAAAAAAGATGGGAATTCAAATTAGAGATTGAGGATTCAAAAGGGTAGAAAAGATCTGCAAAAACAAGATTGAACCGGTTCAGCTAACCCAGTCCGTACAGTGAGCCAGGGTTGGCTGATACAGGTGCTATAAGTGGTCAATTTGATGGGAAAAAACATCAGGATTCAAATTAGAGATTGAGGATTCAAAAGGGCAGAAAAGTTCTGCAAAAACAAGACTAAACCGGTTCAGATAACCCAGTCCGTACAGTGAGCTAGGGTTAGCTGATACAAGTGCTAGAAGTGGTCAATTTGATGGGAGAAAACATCAGGATTCAAATTAGAGATTGAGGATTCAAAAGGGTAGAAAAGATCAGGAAAAACAAGATTGATCCGGTTCAGCTAACCCAGTCCGTACAGTGAGCTAGGGTTGGCTGATACAAGTGCTAGAAGTGGTCAATTTGATTGGAAAAAAGATGGGAATTCAAATTAGAGATTGAGGATTCAAAAAGTTAGGAAACATCAGCAAAAACAAGACTGAACCGGTTCAGCTAAACCAGTCCGTACAGTGAGCTAGGGTTGGCTGATACAAGTGCTAGAAGTGGTCAATTTGATGGGAGAAAACATCAGGATTCAAATTAGAGATTGTGGATTGAAAAGGGTAGAAAAGATCTACAAAAACAAAACCGAACCGGTTCAGCCAATACAGTCCTTACAGTGCGCTAGGGTTGGCTGGTTCAAAGGCTACGAGTGGTCAATTTGATTGGAAAAAAGATTGGAATTCAAATTAGAGATTGAGGATTCAAAAGGGTAGAAAAGATCAGCAAAAACAAGACTGAACCGGTTTAGCTAACCCAGTTCGTACAGTGAGCTATGGTTGGCTGATATAGGTGCTAGAAGTGGTCAATTATATGGGAAAAACATCAGGATTCAAATTAGAGATTGAGGATTCAAAAGGGCAAAAAAGTTCTGCAAAAACAAGACTAAACCGGTTCAGCTAACCCAGTCCGTACAGTGAGCTAGGGTTGGCTGATACAAGTGCTCGAAGTGGTCAATTTGATGGGAGAAAACATCAGGATTCAAATTAGAGATTGAGGATTCAAAAGCGTAGAAAAGATCAGCAAAAACAAGACTGAACTGGTTCAGCGAACCCAGTCCGTACAGTGAGCTAGGGGTAGCTGATACAAGTGCTACAAGTGGTCAATTTGATTGGAAAAAAGACGGGAATTCAAATTAGAGATTGAGGATTTAAAAAGTTAGAAAACATCTGCAAAAACAAGACTGAACCGGTTCAGCTAACCCAGTCCGTACAGAGAGCTAGGGTTGGCTGATAAAGGTGCTAGAAGTGGTCAATTTGATTGGAAAAAATAGCAGGATACAAATTAGAGATTGAGGATTCAAATGGGCAGAAAAGATCTGCAAAAACAAGACTAAATCGGTTCTTCTAACCCAGTCCGTATAGTGAGCTAGGGTTGGCTGATACAAGTGCTAGAACTGGTCAATTTGATGGGAGAAAACATCAGGATTCAAATTAGAGATTGGGAATTCAAAAGGGTAGAAAAGATCCACAAAAACAAAACTGAACCAGTTCAGCCAATACAGTCCTTCCAGTGCGCTAGGGTTAGCCGGTTCAAAGGCTACGAGTGGTCAATTTAATTGGAAAAAAGATGGGAATTCAAATTAGAGATTGAGGATTCAAAAGGGTAGAAAAGATCAGCAAAAACAGGACTGAACCGGTTTTGCTAACCCAGTCCGTACAGTGAGCTACGGTTGGCTGATACAAGTGCTAGAAGTGGTCAATTTGATGGGAAAAAAGATCAGGGTTCAAATTAGAGATTGAGGATTCAAAAGGGCAGAAAAGATCTGCAAAAACAAGATTAACCGGTTCAGATAACCCAGTCCGTACATTGAGCTAGGGTTAGCTGATACAAGTGCCAGAAGTGGTCAATTTGATGGGAGAAAATATCAGGATTCAAATTAGAGATTGAGGATTCAAAAGGGTAGAAAAGATAAGCAAAAACAAGACTGATCCGGTTCATCTAACCCAGTCCGTACAGTGAGCTAGGGTTGGCTGATACAAGTGCTAGAAGTGGTCAATTTGATGGGAGAAAACATCAGGATTCAAATTAGAGATTGTGGATTCAAAAGGGTAGAAAAGATCAACAAGTGGTCAATTACAAAAACAAAACTGAACCGGTTCACCTAACCCAGTCCGTACAGTGCGCTGGTGTTGGCCGATTCAAGGGCTACAAGTGGTCAATTTGATTGGAAAAAAGATGAGAATTCAAATTAGAGATTGTGGATTCAAAAGGTTAGCAAAGATGAGCAAAAATAAAATTGAACCGGTTCAGCTAACCCAGTCCGTACAGTGAGCTAGGGTTGGCTGATACAGTTGTTAGAAGTGGTCAATTAGATATAAAAAAACATTAGGACTCAATTTACAGATTGAGGATTCAAAAGGACAAAGAAGATATGCAAAAACAAAACTGAACCGGTTCAACTAAACCCAGTCCGTACAGTGCACTAGGGTTGGCCGATTCAAAGACTACGAGTGGTCAATTTGATTGGAAAAAAGATGAGAATTCAAATTAGAGATAGGGGCTTCAAAATGGTAGAAAAGATCTGCAAAAACAAAACTGAACTGATTCAGCTAAACTAGTCCGTACAGGGAGCTAGGGTTGTCCGATTCAAAGGCTACGAGTGGTCAATTTGATTGGAAAAAAGATGAGAATTCAAGTTAGGGATTGGGGATTCAAAATGGTAGAAAAGATCTGCAAAACAACACTGAACCGGTTCAGCTAACCCAGTCCGTACAGTGCGCTGGGGTTGGCCGATTCAAGGGCTACCAGTGGTAAATTTGATTGGAAAAAAGATGAGAATTCAAATTAGAGATTGAGGATTCAAAAGGGTAGAAAAGATCTGCAAAAACAAGACTGAACAGGTTAAGCTAACCCAGTCTTTACAGTGAGCTAGGGTTGGCCGATACATGTGATAGAAGTGGTCAATTTGATATCAAAAAACATTAGGATTCAATTTACAGATTGAGGATTCAAAAGGACAAAGAAGATATGCAAAAACAAAACTGAACCGGTTCACCTAAACCCAGTCCGTACTGTGCGCCAGGGTTGGCCGATTCAAAGACTACGAGTGGTCAATTTGATTGGAAAAATGATGAGAATTCAAATTAGAGATTGGCGATTCAAAATGGTAGAAAAGATCTGCAAAAACAAAACTGAACCGGTTGAACTAAACCAGTCCGTACAGGGCGCTAGTGTTGGCCGATTCAAAGGCTACGACTGGTCAATTTGATTGGAAAAAAGATGAGAATTCAAGTTAGGGATTGAGGATTCAAAATGGTAGAAAAGATCTGCAAAAACAACACTGAACCGGTTCACCTAACCTAGTCTGTACAGTGCGCTGGGGTTGGCCGATTCAAGGGCTACCAGTGGTCAATTTGATTGGAAAAAAGATGAGAATTCAAATTAGAGATTGAGGATTCAAAAGGGTAGAAAAGATCTGCAAAAACAAGACTGAACCGGTTCAGCTAACCCAATCTGTAAAGTGAGCTAAGGTTGGCTGATACAGGTGATAGAAGTGGTCAATTTGATATAAAAAAACATTAGGATTCAACTTCGAGATTGAGGATTCAAAAGGACAAAGAAGATATGCAAAAACAAAACTGAACCGGTTCAGCTAAACCCAGTACGTACAGTGCGCTAGGGTTGGCCAATTCAAAGGATACGAATGGTCAATTTGATTGGAAAAAAGACGAGTCTTCAAATTAGAGATTGAGGATTCAAAAGGGTAGAAAAGATCTGCAAAAACAACACTGAACCGATTCATTTAACCCAGTCCGTATAGGGCGCTAGGGTTGGCTGATTCAAAGGCTACGAGTGGTCAATTTGATTCGAAAACAGAAGGGAATTCAAAGTAGAGATTGAGGATTCAAAAGGATAGACAAGATCTGCAAAAACAAAACTGAACCGATTCAGCTAACCCAGTCCGTCCAATGGGTTTGGGTTGGCTGATACAAATCCTAGGATTGGTCAATTTGATATCAAAAAACATTAGGATTCAATTTAGAGATTGAGGATACAAAAGGACAAAGAAGATATGCAAAAACAAAACTGAACCAGTTCAGCTAAACCGAGTCCATAGAGTGCGCTAGGGTTGGCAAATTCAAAGGCTACGAGTGGTCAATTTAATTGGAAATAGATGAG